CTACTTCCCTTTAGTACTAGACTCATCAGCGCGAATTCATTACGAAATATCAAACCCAGGACCATTAGGCTTCATAGTAAGCGTTGAGTTGGCGTCCAGTGATTTAAATTTCTAAATTTAATTAGCTCTTTTCCTGGCTTTGAAAGGCTTTTTAATTAAAGTCACTTCATGGCGTGAAACTCAAATATATACATGTGTAGTTAAGAAAGAAATATCACCTTTGTAATCTACTGACTGCATAAATTAGCTCACATTTACATGCACAAAGTAACCATAATACGTATATAATTATGGAAAACATAGTTTCTAATGTTTAACAATGAGCTTGTTAAATAACTTTACTAATTTAGTTACATGCAATTAGTTATCCATTTTTCCAAAGTAACCATCAACACTTCATGTATTTTATAAGAATACTTTGGTTGACCTAATTAGGGATCCACCCAAATATACAGCCCTTATCATTCAACGATCTATAATTAATTAAGGTAGTAATTCTTTTGTATACACTCACGAAAAGTGAATTCGAATAATGGTTTCATTCAAATTTGGCTATTATCTTCAATAAGTATTAGTTTTAAAGAAGTTGTTTTAATATTGTTTTCTGATATTATTCCCTTATCCTTGATTATTAATCTTTTTACTATACTGAAATTAGAACCTTTATATTAAGTTGATAGAATACCAGTTTGATTTATCCTTATCCTAAATGAATGAAATGAGGAAACCTTATCAAGGAGTGGTGAAAGGCTAAGCGATTTTAGAGAGATCGCATGTTATCTCAAGGCCCCATGAAAGTGAGATATGAAAGAGTGGCTAGCCTATCATAAGTATTTGAATCGTCAACCTAACCAAGGTGATCACTACATATTTTTATCAGGATTACTCTAGTATTATATAGATAATATATATTTTCATCGATAATCTATATCTTGTATATAATATTGATGCGAACAGAGAAATAAAGAAGAACAACGGAAGCTATTTTTGGGAATATTATCTCATTTGAAAGCATGTAAAATAATAACATTTAGTTTTGTCCCTGGTTGTTTTTATAAACGTTGCCATACCCTTTTCTATTCCAAAGTTATTGTAATCTAAACATAACTTTTTGTGCTTCATCTTACTACCCTAATGCTTAGTTGGGAAACAACTGTATTTTCCTAAATGTTTGTACGTTTTGGTCGTGTCAGTAATCTATATATTCACATATCTTTTTAAATAAGTCTCAATCGGAAATCAGAACTCAGTCAAGCAGTGTTACTAGTTGACTCATCTCTCTCGCTTGTCAGCCAATCGGGTGATCAAATAGTTTTTGTCTCTCGGTCCAAAGCTGTTAGTCACAATTCGAACTCATGCGTTTCTAGCCTCGTGGTTGAACCAGTTAGCCTGTCGTGTCAAATATTGAGACAGGTACTCTTCTGCATATTATTTGGTAGAAAGATCAAGGACGTAACAGATATTGTTATCATGAAAGATCAAAACTTTAAAACTAATTATGAATGTTCATATTTAGTCCAGCATTTTGACGATTATTGTTAGTTATACAATCCCACAGTGATCTTTGTCTCATTGTTGATCATTTTATAACAAGCCAGCAATCATATCTGAACACCAGCTTTATACTGTTTCCAAATCATCAGAAAAGTATATCTGAAGTTTGAAGTAAATTCAAACCAATTCCTATGTGATGAACTCGACAGACTTCATGAAACGCATAGAATCTATAAGTACCCGATCAAACTTATTTCAACAAAATACTTCTCATGAATGATAATGCATCTGCATTTTGATTGCTGAAAACATCCTTCGTGGTTCTCAAAAGACTGGTCCTAGCCTTACATCACCCTTGCAGTCTTCGCATCCCTAACTGTAACTTTTAATTCCCTTATTTAAAAAAAAAAACGACTTTCTTCGATGCATTATCTTCATGAACGGCTCTCAATATTACATAAATTTCCAGAGTTTTCTACAAATTTAGATAAATTAATATATTCATTAGACAAACCGTATACAACTATAAGCCTACAAGGAAGTAGCCTTTGAACTAGATAACATTTCAGTCTGAAGTGATATTAATGTTAGTTTAAATCTATACATGAGTATTAGTTTCTTTAAAAAAAATGAAAAAAAAACAGGAAATCAATTGTAATACATCCCTTCAATTGACATCAAACATTTAACACTATCCTATGTTAATTTATATTCATATAGACGGTAGTGAAAGTTAAAACAAATAGTGTAAACAATCAATTATTGAAGTCATAAAACTAGATAATGAACATTGAAATTACTTTTTTTTTGTTAGATCAAACCTATTTGTATGGTTTTATCGTAGTAATAAATAAATCATGCGAAACATTTGAATAACCTTTAAGAAAGTTAATGATACTATTCCTTATTATCTTTGGTCTATAAAATCATTTAACATTTCAGGATTTAATTTAATGCATTTAAATTTGTAAAGATTAATAGTATATTTAAGGTTATTAATACTCTAAAAACCACAGTTATAATTTGATATAGAATAGATAGGATGTGGCTAGTGTTATATAATGGTAACTTTTGGGACCCATTTATGGACCAATATTAAACGTATATTTTTATTGTATAATTGTTAAATAACTAAACTATTCATAATCATGTCCCTCTTATTATGAGCTTTATTTTGCCCTATGGACTGTTATCATTATTTTGATGAAAGTCATATGGAGAAAATAAAAAAACTTCTGGGAAAGAATACATAAATGCTGTAGAAAAGCATACTAGAAAATAATAACCCTGGCATAATAGGATCTGATTTCCCTTCTTGGATTAATTAAGCATAAAGAATAATTGTAAAAGCATTAACAATGGAAAACTTGTAGTCCACGTTTAAACTTCAAGCCCGATTACTTCGTATTAGAACCAGAATGTGTACTTTGCTCCATTCCGTTTCTCTAGAGCAAAGAAATTGCATTATTTCACCCACATCATACGAGATACAGAATAGTCTACTTCAGACCGGTATAAATCGAGAAGAATGACTTGAAAATGCCATTTGTATCATTGATACAAATAAATGCTAGTAACTAGCATTTTGCTGTACCAATATTCAGCCGTTTAAGAAAATGATTTGTGTAAATGTTTTACCATATTTTTGAGCATGTATTCAAAACTCTTGAAGTCGTAAGATATGAGTGCCATTACTCATTTTGCCCTTTAGTACTAATTTCCAACAAGTTTTTGATACTACCAACTACAATAAAACTGATTTTATATATACCATTATTTGAAAATGTTTAATTTATCCCATTCTTGACTGTTATTTGACCGATTTAATTGGTATATGTGTGTTCTGTTAGGATCATTTCACTAAAACCATCTCTTCCGTATGAACTAAGTTTTATATGCTTTGAAAATGGTAGTTTATGTCCTACTAAGGATTCTTAGTACTGTTGAACAAACATTTATTTCAACCAGCCAAGCTACAGAAATTTGAAAAAATTGATTTCGGTTAAATCAAGTTTAAAAAATATTAACAGGCTCCCAGTAAAAATAACAGTGGTCATGTTTGCATTTTAGTTCAAATGCACTCTAAATAACATCAGTTCATCGTCTATACTCAAATTATAAATTTACCCCAGCATATCAACGGAATCCATTTTCTTGAAATACAACCCTATAATTCATTTATTTATTACATAACGTGCAAAAAAGAATGCACACAACCAATTTACTAGAAATCAGGCATTTTTCTAGGTTGGTTCAATAGACCAAAGAATAAATTCAATATTATCTAACAGTGAGTAGTGAAAGTAATCGAATATCCAGTTAATGTTCAAAATGTCCAAAAAGTAAAGTGAAATATCCTGGATTAATTGAAAATACTTGTTTTCAAACGGTGCAACTCTCTTAGTCGATAAACTTGTTCATTGTTAATTAATTCTTCAGATATACAAATTCACATTAGCTAAAGCTCTTCTAAAGGCGTCTCACGTAAAGACTGATCATCAGTAAGATTGGTTAAAGAGAACTCATAAACCGTTAAATATTAATTTATATCGAGTTGAATTACAGTTTCTCAATTTTTTCTTGTACGACCGGATATCTTGCTAATAAACACTAATAAGCATAAAACATTTGACTTTGAAACTCTAGGAAACAGGCGAAAGCAAACACCAGTAGGGGGGTGTAAATTGTCGAGTGTTACTAAGTTGCCGAAATGACTTCACTTAGGTAGCTATTGAAAGGTAGAGAACACATGATAGCTTCTTCGTCCTAGTATTAGACACCAAGGCAGTGCACATCCGCAAACCCACCCGTAATCGAACGTAGATCACTTGTCGAGCCTCTATTCTATTGACCACTTAGTCAGCATTCAATATTTTAGGCATCAAACTACCAGCCGAAGTCAAAGGAAAATTGTTGCGCAATATCGCGAATTGATTGAAGTTATAAATCTCACCCACTGGACGCCAATTTATTGGTTTAAAGATTATATGCTCTCTGTGAGACTTGGTTTCGATCCTTAGTGGGATTCTAGATCCTCACTGCTGGGATGTCCCATACTAGTGTGAAACAGCTATCCAACACTTTCTGGTTTCAGTGGTTGTCCAACTTACGTCGGCTCGTGATTTCAGAAAAAAAGAACGCTTTATCGTTTATAAGGTCTTTTATTTCTTGAAATAAGATGCATTCGCTTTTATAACAAAAACAAAGCAAGTATTATCACAGACAGGAGGTAGACGAATAAATAATGTGCGTGTTCGAAAAAATTTCAATAGAAAAAGGCAAACCTAATAAATGATATAGAAACACAAACTACAACCATAACATTAAATGAATTTTACAAAAAATTTAGGTCATACAACTTGGAAAAAAGAATAAAATACTTCCAAAACAAACAGGACGGATAAAAACCAATCTGAGCCGATATGTTTTAATAAGTTTCAAAATAAAAACGATCAAACAACAAAACAAAATTGGGAAGAACGAACGAGAACAAATACCATAATAACAGTAATAATAATAATAATAATAATAATAATAATAATAATAATAATAATAATAATAATAAACAGGAAAGACGATTTCTATTGAATCTTTTTCGAAAGGAAAAGAAAATAACTAAAACTATAAATTTGTTTTACTATACACACATATGAAAAATAGTTTAACCAAAACCGAAAAACTAAAGCATTTTCCTTTTCTGTTGTTAGCCTGTTTCGCACTGAACCGTTCATTTTTACTTACCTACTTACTAATTACTTACTAATTAACACTTGTTATTTATAATTTAAAAGAGCATCGAATCATTAAATCAAAATAAGCGTCATTGTCAACAGATGCACTGAGACCAGAATAGTAATTGAAAAATTCTTCACGAGTTATCTAATTTCAAAGAAAAAAATTGGAAGAGAGTTAACAATTATGGATAAAATCTGTATTCATTAGAATCTAACACAAATATAAATCAAACCAAATTGTCATACTAAATTACAAAAAGGATATCAAATTAATCAAATGCATCGCAATACAGTAGCAGTTTCAGGGATATTAAAAACAATTAGACATTATGAAGAAAGAATCATTTCAAGCAATAAAATTATCTCAAAACTCAGAATCTAGAGGCACACAAAAAGAGAAATCTATGTTGTATAACGTACCAAACCACTGATCGCGTTTACCGCACGATGTATCAACCAAAACAACCAATCTCATCTCTTGGCCCACGCATCCATAACTCTCTTTCAACCTGCTTCTAACTCACTCAACAACACTTAGATTAACTCTTGAACAGACTAGCTTCATTAAATCCACCGGACAGCGAATCAGCACGCACGAAAATTCCTATAGATATCACTCCATCAATGACGGAAGAAATCAGGATGGCCATCACACAAATCAAGAGTGGGAAAGCAGTAGAACCTGACAATATACAATAGACGGCTCGGAATCAATTAGAAGATTTCTACTACTCAGATGATCTGGCCCTTCTATCCCATAAACATGAACAAATGCAGATAAGGACAACTATTGTAGCAGCAGCCTCTGAATCAGTAGACCTCAACATATACAAAGGAAGAAGTAAGATCCTCGAATACAACACGAAGAAGACTAACCCAGTCATATTTGGTGGAGAAACTCGAAGAGGTGAAAATCTTAATGTATCTGGGTAGCATCATCGATGAACAAAGAAAATTTGAGAACTACCACATCCATCACCAAAAAGGTACAAATATTTATAAGCGGTTGTCTATGCAAGATACTCAAAATCCATTAGCCGGATACCATCAGCAACAGCCTACTGTGGGAGAGAACAAACCATCTTCCAAATGAAGAGAGAATTAGTAATAGATACTGAAGGTGGGTAGCACACAAATTACGGAAATCACCAAACTACATCACGGGCAAACGCTAACTTGGAAACAGAAATGAAGAAGGCCAGAGAATACACTACGACGGGAATCGGAAGCAGACATGCAATGGATGAATAGTAACTCAAAAGAACTGGAAAGGATTTTCCAGGACAGAGTTGGATGGAGAATGCTGGTGTGCGGCCTATGTTACTCCACGAGGGGTAACAGGCGCAAGTAAGTAGGAAGTGAGTCTACTCTTCCTTCCCTTATATTAACTGTTCTTTTCATCTTTCTTAACAGTTTGAGGGCGCCTATGTTTTTTATCCCACTCAGGTTGTTTGGGAATAGTCTCAAACCAGAAGGTAGTTAAAGCCCAATAGAACCTCTTAGTTCATTATTTCAATTACCTGGTCTGAGATTGAATAATAGTCCGGTCTTTTTTGGAATAACTGTCACTGACAGCTGACATTTTTAATACTTGTTTATTGTATAAGTCTGAACAGTTGTCTGGTCCCTCTCGTTTTCACTCGCTGTCCATCATCGTTTACCATCATTTCGTGAACATTTTTCCGGTCTTTGTTTTATATTACTCATCATTTTATCCGGAGCCTGGTGGGATAATTTTTCCATTATTCAACTCACAGTTGTTTAAATATCACTGCCAAACTATATCTGAGTGAACGCTTTCATAATCGATTACAAGCTTCTCCAGTTTCTAAGATATACTATCGACTGTTTTATGGTTACGCTAAGCTCTAATAGCTCTTTCAGGTTTTGACTCTTCTATGCCAGGTATGAGGCATGTTTACAGGGAAAAATACATGAGCATGAAAAATCTGTTTGTCAGTAGATCATTGACTGATTATACACTGGAAAAAAGGGTATATGAAGCTAATATGATAAAGGTTAATGCCATAGTGTATTTGCAATTATTGATGTTACTTAAAAGCGAAATCTAGGCAACACAAAATTAAACTCAGGTTATAAATGAACAACAAATATATATCCACATATAAAGCATTCAATTCACCCATCAATGCATAGATATATAGTTATCATAATAGTAATTATAATTATCAATTTTTAAAGCTGTTTTCGTTGCACAAATGGCACCAGCTAAAGACAAATTGAAAATCACTGATTACTATACAAGACACTCGCAAAGTATTCATGAATTTTCAGTGATCTTACACCTGATATTAGTCAGTGATGAAAACTAACTTTATATTGAACAGCCCTCACAGATATACCTATAAAAAAACAATCTATTCAAACTTTATAGTCTTTGAAATAATGAAACCATATGATTGAAAATGATAAGTAATTTCTTCTTAAAATATACAAGGAATTTACTATGCTTTCAGAGTGTTGAGCATCTTGTTCTTAAACTAATTCCTTCAACTGTTTCAATATTATTTCTCTCATTAATTTTATTATTCTGTCTTCCTACAATCATTCTGAAGTAAAGACTACATTGTGTACTTTGATAAAACAAAGGTGTACATATGCTTTTTCAGGTCCTCCTAAACAATGCTCTATGTTTTGCACATCTTTCTCTTATTTAATCTTTTCGTTACAAGTTACGTAAACAATTATAAGAAACAGGCTACTGATTTTAGCCTAAATCAAAATTAGTTCAAACTCTGTCCCGTTTCGAGCAAAATTGAAGTAATATTGCAAGAGCTTAGAATTCATTTTATTAAAAAATTAATTTTTATAATTTCTGTTTAATCCTACTTTTGTGCAAAAGATAAATATCCCGTTCGTAATAATATAAATATGAAACACTCATTGACTTGCTAAGGAATTTTCGCATACATATATACGTACATATTAATTTAAGATCCTAGTGTATAATGGTTTACTGGGTTATAAAGTATTTACAACTTCTGGTCGCTTGCATTACCGTCTGGCGGATGAGGTGAGACTTGAGCTTCTAACCTGTTGAACGCAAATTCATTCACTCATCTATTGAGCTGTGGCTTGACTATTGTTTGCCAATAATCTCCTACTGTATAAAGGTTATATATATAGGATAAAATCATCATCAACATGTGCATGGTATGTAGTAGGCAATACATGTTACGTTTTAATTTTTACACACAACAAACTAAAAAATTGCCTAAAATAAGTGATATGTATACATATATACATGTATATAAATAGATACACTGAGTAAACAAACTTTGTCCAGTTTAAATTTTATAGGCTTGTCGTATCATTAAGTCGAAATAAGCATCATTGTCAATTGATGCGCTGATACCAGTGTAATAATTGAAAAATTCTTCTCTTGTCACCTGAAACATTTAAAGTTAGCGTTTTTTTTGTCTTGCTTCATCACAATTAATATAGAAGAAAGACACTTACCTTTAAAATATTAATGGTTAACAATTACGTAAATTGTGTTAAGTAAAAATGTTAAGTAAATCACAACTACCGAGAAATAGCTATTATTCTGAGTTCAGCGTTCGACAAGTAATGAGAAACAATTATTCATTTCTGCATTCGGATATCCAGTAAATATTTAAAACTGTTATATTATTTTTCCCAAACCAATTCTTTACCAAAATATGTCAATTTTTATGGTAGGTAGAACTAAAACAATGATAAATTTCACGTTGTCCCCGTAAAAACTCGTTTTCTTTATAAGTTTCAAATTACTACTTTAAGGAATAGATTATTTATACTGAATTATATGATATGATCCGATCAAATGTCAAAATTGAGGAGCTATTATTGTTATGCATTTGTGATGACAATTGTAATATGTAATGGCACAATTTTAAAGTGCCTCAAATCTAAAAATCCGACATATGCCTGCCACAAGTACTCCATTTTTATATTTAAAGCAAAATATATTTCACCAAATGGCTTTTTGCATCATATTTCTGATCGCTATTTTGAGATAACTTAATGTTTAACTGAAACTATGCATTTTTCTGACTTCAAATTTTACATTTGTAAATGTAAGACCAAAGCAACTGTAGTGTTTTGGGCATTAAGGAAAGGATTCAAAATTATAGCAATAGCGACAAATGAAATTAAAAACAGTAGGAAAATTACTGACGAGAAATATTCAGGATTCCTGTTCATAATGTGGTCAGAAAACAATATCGTAAGATTTGAAAAAAATGAGTGAATGTAAAAAATATTCATGTTCATAGAAAAATAAAATCATATGCTTAAAACTGCTTACAACTTCATCAGCATTGTTTTGTGGTTGAAATGTTTTTAAAAATTCAACTAAAATTTCATCTTCAGTTTTTTCTCCATTTATAAACTTTGGATGGTTTTTTACATTATACACGCCTTTTAAATCTTCAATCTGAAATAAGTAATTCAAAAAATCAGAGGGATTGTTTGATTAACGAGACCACCGGTAGACAACTTACATAGTAGTCAATGATCTCAGTAAAAATGTGGTGTATTCTTGAATATAAATGTAAAATGATTGCACATAAAAAACTGGACTTAACTCAATGTAAAAAACGTTTTGGCGTTTTTAACTAGTGTTTAATAACGACTACATCTAATGTATTAAGTGACATCTAAACTTTTCCTCGAATTCGGATGCCTATGGCTTCGAAAATCGATCATTTTCAAAGTTTGTTACATCTACAAAAATGGTCCATTTACATTCGTGAAACCTCTTTATGATTGCACATTGCATTCTTGAAGTTTTCTAGATTATTCGACTGCAAGAATTAAGTAAGTTAAAAGATGAATAGTTCATAATAACAGGTACATGAGAACATCGCTTGGTAAATCCATATTTAGAATCCCATTAGCTTGACACATTCTGGCTTTAAACCTCAAAAGAGGATTATGCTATAGAGAGAAATTGCAATAAATCAAAATAATTCATTACTGTCCTATGATAGGACCATTTGACGTTAAATATAGACACCAAAGAAGGTAGTCATTTTCTGCTGAAGCTACCATCATTTAAATACTCGGTACATGAAAATTTTTTAACAAGAACTCAGTCTTTAAGTAATACTGGGACACAGTCAAACTAAATTATTTTAAAGAGCATTCATGATATCATTCCTCTATGCACCTTACTACAGTAAAAAACAAAGCATTTAATAAGTGTTTAAAGTAAAGTGTCGGTTTTCCCCAACTGTTAAAATAGTATCTCATTTCTATCACCTATATCTATGAACAACATGTACATATTTTACTGGTATAACACAAACTGTCACGTCAGAATACTTGTTTTGAAATTGTTTTAAAATTGTAGTCACTTCCATGATATCAATCGCTCACATATTACTAACTGTAGCGAAAAAAGATAAAACATCCTAATTACGATAGAAAACTCACTGAAACTTAAAAAGTATAGCTTTAAGATATGTATAAATTGTTATGCTAAACACAGTTTCCATAACCTATGATATAATCTGTAGAGGCCAAATAGATCATAGGTCATGAGATTATGCTTTATTATAATGCAAGGTATTAAGGAGCATTTGGGAAATTTAGGTAATTGCAGAAAGCGAAATAAAGATGAAAGTGAACAAGTCTTCAGTTTTACTATGCTAACTGTAATAAAAGTAAGTTATTCTTAATAGTTAATATCACTTTGGTAAAGATATCTAAGACTTTATTACGTTTTGTGAATAAAGGTACAAAATGGCTATCTGAACAAAGAATAAAAATTATTGGTGTGTTTTAGTGAAGATGTAATCATTTAATAAGCTCTGTGTACTTAACTTAAGGAGCTTCATTTATGCTACCCCATGTGCATGTATTTACTTACATATAAAGTTAATAATTTGATGTATTCTAATTGTTTAATCCAAGTAAAGGTAACAAAAACGTTTATTGAGATTACAGTTAATACATTTCGTTTAATATACTCTCTCTCGAGCACCAAGAATAATAGGCTAGTTTTTCGATCTGATTTAAAATTTGTATGTGTAGAAATTTCTCTGGGCAGTGGACACTGTAAATGCGAACTTATCATAAATAAGCAATTACCGTAAAGAGTCTGACTAAGAATGGGTTTTAACTCTAGCTTTTGAAAGCAACTGGTTAATTCCACTTCCTTTTCAAACAAACTAATAGTCTTTCCTGGGTTTTACATTTCTGAACTCCCAGACATAATTTGCAAACTGAAGTGTGAATCATGGTTGAATTCGAATATGATAATAATAGCCGAATTAACTATCATCGATAAAGGTTATAACGATTTCAGTTGAAGTCGAATGATGTTTTATAATTTTGTGAGGTTGGGTGCAAAATATTCTAATTCCACACTTAGAAACCTTACAAATGATTTATTAACAGAATGGAACCCATAATATTCATCTAGGGCTAGTATAAATGACGAGTGAAATAATTTATAAAGGAAACGTACAGTTATTGCACCATCTTTCGTCTTATCCATTTTCAGAAATGCTTTGTTCAGTACGTCAAGTCTACATTTGCTCATAGGAGGCTTGCACTTTAACGAATAATTGAATCTTACTCTTAAAGACATAAGAAACTCATCAAAATCAATAAATCCACTCTGATCTACGTCGATTTCATCAAAAATCTCTTTAATTTCATCTTTGGACAGATCCACACCGAAGTCTTTGCACCCCTTCGAAAATTCCTTGAAATCAAGCTTTTTGTTTCCGTCATCATCAATAATTCGAAATTGTCTATTGTCAAGAGAACAATAAAGGCCAACATTATTTAGTTATTTACCTTCCTATACCAGCTATCCCGGATGCACCACGTAAAAGACACTGGTATCTGAGCTTTTCAATCGGCTTAAGATCTTTTGCCAGTTGCTTTCTTGCTTTTTCTTGCAACAACTTGTCACTCCTTTCTGTTTCCATTACGGGAATCAGGACGCTAGTACAAAAGCGAGCATCGATACGAACCAGATAATTTAATTAGTTAAACAAATTTCGAGTGATTTGACAATTGTCTGATTAACAGATTTCAAAAAGAAACTGAAGTTAAGAAACATCAATTAAATGGAAATGTGACTTAAAAGTTTGAGTTATGATAATATCTCCGAATTTCTAGTGAAGAATGAAAAACCTAGTTACACTGAGAGATGTGAAGATGCCACAGATATTCAGTGTTTCACAGTGCAGTTGTCCGTAATAAATTTTAAATGAAATTTATCGAGCCCAGCTAAACTAAGGTCAGGCATGAATGAGCTCGATTATATATCTGGAAGATGGTCGGTGCGTCGATAATTATGAAGGGCCAGTGAAATGCCATTGAGCCTCAGCCAAAGCATCCGGCAGTTGGTTCACTGAATATCAAACAGTTCGTCGATCCCATCTAGGTCAAGGACAACCAGGATACATCAGTTAATCACACTCAATGGACTAACCCATGAAGTGGTGGTCATCACTCTAACTAATATATTTATGTAGTATCGCCCTTTGTGTTATACGGTCTTCAAAGCAGCAATAGAAACTTGATACGGCGAAGGGGTAAACCACGTTAGGTGCTAACCTCGAGGTGTGACTCCGAAGCCAGCTATTGGTCACAGCATTTCCATCTGCCCCAAGTAGGCCCCCAATCATTTGACTTAAATCATAAACCTAAGAAATGCGCAGCATGGTTTAACCAAGAGTGATCTGGTGAGGATGCCTGATTACGCGTCTTTAGTTAGTATGTGCCCAGTAATAAATCTCGGTTCACCGTGTTATTCTTCGGTTTGCCCTCATTTCCAGATGTCCCGGAAATGAACAAAATGTAAATGTGAGTGCAGGTAGAAATTCACTTTTCTTTGTGTAAGGAAGAGAGTCGTAAAAATACTGTTAATTCCTCGGTATGCATGCGCTTGATTTCTTTTATCCAATTATAAGACTTCACGAATTTTAAAAATTTATATTATATTCAGGTTATTTCCACACATATTGTCTTATATAAAAATGGTATTTTGGTGTTATATTACTACTAAACCTTCAAGTTTGTTATCGTACTGACGTTTTAAATTACTTGAGCGATGTTTCACTTCATCCACCTAAAGAATAACACATTCAGAAATACACATTATTAAAAAAAAACGGATTATATAAATTGACTCGTATATACTTGAATTTTAAAAATCTACTTGAATTTACAGCTGTCACCTGTACTGTTAGTGGCTATCTGATATTTGCGCATCTAAAGATGTCACGAATACTCGGGACTAGACAACGCTTTTGTCTATAACACCTTTTCAATTGAAAGACCTAGTTTCTGCCAAACCAAAACTTGGGAATGTGTATTTGGAGGTTTGTTGAGAAGCCTTTGGTCTAAGCTGGCTAGTCGTTGCAAGATATGTGTGTAGTGAACGTGTACTGTCATTGGTCCTAACCACACAGTCTTCAAAGCTAAATACGAGATTACTGGGAAAATGAATGTTCAACAATTAACACGAAAAGAAGGTCAGCAGTGGGGGGGTAGAAAGCATTCATTCAATTCAATCAGACGGCATGGCTGAGCCTTGCATATGTGGTCATTTTGTATAACTTGTATTTACTCGCATCAAATATATTACTTTTTCTATGGCTTAAATGTGTTTTTTAGAAACCCGCAGATATCTTGCTTATTGTTACGATGTAACAAGTCAGAATAGATAATAATGCGACTTCCACGTAAGATCTCATAGATTAAGTAGTCACATGTAGTGTTTGAATGAACTAATGATTCCTCTGTACTCTTTGAGTGCTCAATTTCGAATTTCAAACACAGTACATTCTTTTATGCTTTTCAAGTACTTCTTGATTCAGTTGCATCATTCCTGGGATTCCTGGTTCGTACTATAACTAAAATACTCCTAATTATCATATCACATCATGACAAATCTACATATTTTGGGGTTAGGTTTACTATTATAGCAGTACTAATAACGAACTACACCATAATTCTATGACTGAAAACTCAAGTAAACGAAACCAATTTATCGTTTAGTGCAAAATTACAGAGGGTCTTTGTAAATTGTAGAAACCGTACAATGAATGCTTCATTCGCACATCTTTCATTACTTACCATTTACATTATTTATGTTTTTTCAATGCTCAATTTCATTCTGTCTCCTTTTCTGTTTTATTCAGTCCAATCTTATCAATCCTCTTTTCACAGGCATTCCACTTCTGATTGGCGTATTGTATAATGCATGCGTCTATCGACGTAAATAGCATACGCCAAATCTGTAACACGGCGTATCCACTCGTGGTCTGGTGCGGATGTGTGACTGAGCGCTTCCATTCAGACGTGTCCAGTAAAACTAATGATCTCTGCATCAGTTTTGAATATTTACAGTAATATTTAATTGTGATACTTACTTGCCGCTACAGTACAATCACACCTTTTAGGGGTGTAAGATCCATTTTAAATTTCCTGTGTGTAAAAATCCCTCCATGTAAACACTTGCAGTTAGTTCCTACTAATTCCTATAGATGTACATTTTGTAAGTCTTTTTATTTCACATGAGTTTGTAATACTTGTATTTTCTTGTAATTTTTATTTTTTCTTACGACTTCACTAAGTTTCTGTAGTGACCTACTTTTATCAAGAGAACGATATTGGTGTAATCGAAACAATTATTATTATAACCAATTGTACCAGGGATTGTTTTGCCGTACTTGTTTGTTTATCTGTGCCAAAATACATACATTCTTCCGTTGATTGTGACCTTGCACGAATTCGGTTGCGCTCAGTAACCACACTTGTGACCTGGGACGATCTAGGTATTCTTTCAATATCACGAGATCGCTAACAAATACATCTCAACTACAGCCAACAACTGCCTTCTGATTTTTTGTCTACGGGGGATCTTATCGATCAACTGGCACGTAGTCTTCCTGTAGTGGTGATCATAGTCAACCGCGACTCGACACCAGACTACAACTGATGAGCCGAATCTTGGAACACGTCTCAACCTCTGGAGAATCTCACAAAGACTACTGCGGTGAGTCTGTTATCTATCTATCCACTTTTATTGCACATTTTCGTATTGATATTTTTCAATATACAAAATCCGGACAACATGTGGTATGGTAGATAACGATAAGTGTGGTAATTATACAATAGACTCCGATGTACGCGTACCGAATCTTAGGCGTCTCTCATTCGCGTGACGCTATAATCCACGTCCTATCTGAGAAATTCCCCAATTAACTAAACTACTCGAGGAGATTCCGTCGGTGACCAGTCGTGTGATAAACTACATAGTCACCCCCAGACCCCCAGCCACGACAAGACCTCGCCGACTGGCACTGAACAAATTAGCTTTCGCTAAGCGTGAGTTTGCCAATTTACTAGCTATTGGTATTATTCGTCCTTCTCACAGTCTCTGGTCCCCACCTCTTCACATGGTGCGCAAAAAAGATGGGGTTAGTTGGAGACCATGAGGCAACCATCAAGCATCAAATGTAGTTACACTCTTTGATAGCTATCCCATCCCCCACATACACGACGTCAAGGCATCGCTCAAGGGCACGACCATCTTTTCTAAGATCGATCTGGTACGAGCATATCATCAGATTCCAGTCGGTCTTGAAGATATCAAGAAAACTGCTATCACGACTCCTTTTGGTCTCTTTGAGTTCCCGCGAATGACATTTGGATTACGGAATGCTGCTCAAACTTTCCAAAGGTTTATCGATAGCATAGAACGAGACTTGGATTTTGTTCACATCTATATTGATGACCTGCTAATCGCATCATCAAACGTAGATGAACATTATCAACATCTTACACTGTTATTCCAACGCCTTCCAGATAACGAAATGGTGGTCAGTCCGGACAAGTGTGAACTGGGCAAATCGGAAATAATTTTCTTAGGTCACACCTTTAAGCAAGAGGGTATTTTACCTTGCGAGGACAAAGTACGTGCAATAAGGGAGTACACCATACTGTCCACACTCGAAGAACTGAAGGCATTTCTCGGTCTGGTTAACTTCTATCGACATTTCGTCCCACACGAAGCAGAACGGTTACCATCATAAACCGATTTACTTCGCGGTAATCTACGCAAATTAGAATTGAACGATGCCACACGTACTGCATTTTCAGAGATCAAAATGGCTCTGGCTTATATCACACTCCTCGCTCATCCTAACCCATCAGCTATAGTATAGCGGTTGATGCTTCGGATTTTTGCTATAGGAGCAGTTATGCAACAGAACATCTCCGGTAGTTGACAATCTTTTGAATCTTTCTCACGACGCCATACTCCCACGAAGACGAGATATGACGCTTTTGGTCGAGAACTACTAACGGCTTACTGTGCCATCAAACACTTCTGGCACGCAGTAGGTCGCAATTTCATTTTATTCACCGAACATAAGCCTTTAACGTATGCTCTGCATGCCAAGAATGACCGCTACTCACCACGAGAGTGCAGACATTCGGATTATATCTCTCAGTTCACGACAGACCTTCGTCACATTAAAGGCGAGTCGAACTGTGTTGCTGATGCTCTGTCACGTATCTAAGTGAATGCAGTTACTTCACCGGTGCTCGATCTTCCTGCTATGGCTGCCGCTTAAGCAAACGATCCCTTTTGTACAGAAGCACCACAATCTACATCCCTTCAGTGCCAGGACGTACCCGTAGCTACTAGCTCAGGTACTATCCTATGTGATACTTCTACCGGTCTTCCCCGACCCATCGAACCCTCTGCTTACCACCGCCTCGTCTTCGATACCCTGCATGTACTGTCTCATCCAGGTATCACAGCTAAATTACGCCTCATCACTGCATGATACGTTTGGCCGTCCATGAATAAAGATGTCCTTATGTGGGTAAAGAAATGCATACAGTGCCAACGATCAAAAGTGCACAGGCACGTAGCTGCCCCTATTGGCACGTTCGCCACGCCTGATACTCACCTCGATCACGTTCATATAGATATTGTGGGACCATTG